GAAATTGTCCTAGAATCAAATTTATGACAGTATCAGGCTAAACATGCTTTGTATGCATAAGACTAAGGTGACAGCACATATATTATTCCCAAAGTTGTCTGAAACATCATGGTACTGCCTTTAAACGTCTTTTAAAACTGATCTACAAGTGTGCCTTATGTAAGACCACAGATCAAAACAACTGTAATAGACTATAAATTTTAAAAACCGATCATGACGTTGAAATGACCGTGTGAAAACTAGCATGTGTTTTACGTGATATGTTTTAACGTGACGCAGTAGCGGGCGCGTTCGTGTTAACGCCACCCCAGGCGTCTGTTATCTGTTTAATCTCTGTATCATGTTCACCTGTTTGATACCGGAGTCTCCCTCGGATCGAATGCGCTCCTCCATGTTCAGCTGTTGTAACATCAACTGTCTGGAGAGGGTACCAATGGTCCCAGTCATTTCCTGCAAAATAAATGATAATTAGTGGAGAAGGAATGTATTTGCCATATCACCCAAACCCAATATAGAGGTGCATTTCACATGATAAAGTGTCAAAAAATTAAAAAATGAAATCAAAATTGTATTCAATATTTCAAAACATATATGTGTATAGAACAAAAATCCACGACTGTCTCAACTGAAATTCAATTTTTAATTTTTACCATGTCTTTAACATTACGCAAAGAGCCTTATATGGTAACGTATGTTCCAAAAACTTACGATAACGTATGTTCCTTGCCATTTAATTTTCATTTTTATGCCGCGTTCCGATATATATTTTGAGTGGTTCAGTTATGGTAAATTAGACACGAAGTAAGGACGTTTTTATAAATATTTAAACTGTATTTCAAGGGGCTTTGTGTCATGGCTTACACAAGGTAACGTATGTTCCCTAGAAAAATTGTAAAAATGTTTCATTTTGTTCAAGTACTTGTGTCCAAGAGATACAATGTTTTCTTTTGCTGACCGAACAATTTATTGTGGTTCCATGATAGCTTGACATTTCTGATATATTATTTGGATCATGAAGGGAAAAAATTTATTTAATGCTTATTTTACTGTCGGTAGGGTGTATTTCCCCCATTTTTTAACATTCTGTGACAAGCAAACTAAAGACGCTCAAAAACAATTAACTGCTCTATACAGAAGATAATTATAATTTTAATCAATGAACAAAACCAGTGATGACTGAATTTTCAAAGTGAGTAGAAGGTTTCACAGTTGGACGTTTTGTATTTGTGACAGTAACGTATGTTCCTTTTTGCGCTTAAACGATGAATTATTTTTAATTATTCATGGTTCCAGGAGAGTAAAACTTTTATAAATGCTTCTACCCTAAAATAATCAAACACAGTTAGCAATCTGTGCAGTAAATATTTTAATAACATACTTGTGACATCAATTGCACCTCTATATTGGGTTTGGGTGATATGCCAAATTCAAACAAGAGAGTGAGAGTGAAAGAGAGAGAGATAGAGGGAGTGTGAGAGGCTTAGAGGGAGAGAAAGAATCTTGTTTATTACAACTGTTTATTTTAACTGGCATAAAACTAACCAAGATATTCAAGCTAGAAAAAAACTGCTGTGTTTCCAAAATAGATCACAAGACTGCACTCTAAATGGATTTGTTTCTTGCAACTGTTTCTTTACATTGGCATAAAACTAATCAAGACCTTAAACCTAGAAAATAAATTCTAAGTGTCCACTCTAAATCACTATGCTGCAATACAATTTTTCTCTAGATTTAGATCAACGGCAAATTCATACATAACGCACACCATCAGATCACCATACCTCCACAGTTTTCTTCAATTCATTCATTTGGTCCACGACACTTTCCAGTGTTGGCGGGGCCTTGGTGGTCACTGGTTTCCTGGCCGCCTGGGCCATGGCCAGCACTACACACAACGCCAACAGCTTCATGGTGACAAGGATGAACCTAAAACCAGTCGGTTATAATTATCAGGGGCGGATCCAGAGATATTTTCTGACTATCTTCCAAATTATATTTGTTGATCCATCCTCCATTTTTGATTGTCTTCAGACACAGAAAAATTAGATGACCGTTAATGTAAACTTGAAAAATTCTGACTGTCTTCCGGAAGCCCCAGAAGACGGCTTCTGTCCGCCATCGAATATAATAACTGAGATGTTTCCGTAAAACTGAATTACCGCTGGATGAGTGAACCTACTCGTGGTCCAATCATCTCCATCCTTCATACATAGATTGGCGAGCTAAGACCAGATTTTATAAATATATCTGATAAATAAGATTACTAAAGAGGTAAAACGAAATATAAACCACCATACATAAGGCTATTATGTTTGTGGCCATCTCTGCTTTGGTGAGAATTCCAAAAGTTCATTAACGATGTAAGAATTTGATAAGAAAAGTTGGCAACATTATGACATACTGAGTGTGCATTGAAAGCGAAAGCACACATCAAGTGTGCGCAATCTTGATATTTGAATGAATAAATAAACAAAAATATAGAAAAAGAATCTTCTGACGGCAAATCACAACTGTTTTTTACATTCGTCTTTATGCAAATATACATATGTACCTCACGTTCATGCTTTTTAGAAACAATGGTTGATCTCCCGGCTGTCTGTTTCAAAAAAAAAAAAAATTTTAGTCCAAAAGGCCTGCTACTTTATCTAGAGCTAAATAATGAGCCAAATTACTCGTCTAAAAATTTACACCAGGTTCCGCTGTTACGTTATTTTGTGAAACCGTCATTGGCCCTGTTGTGCTTTTGCTATTTCATATATATAACAAGCATATTTCAGCATATCTGAACATCCTCACACTTACGTGGATCACTGCAGCTACACCAGTCGTCGAACTGAGCTCAGCATGTCACACATATATATATATATATATATATACCGCAGTCTGCCGACTTCGGGCAATTCCGTTCTGCGCCAAACACACGATGATTGGTCATTGGAGATACGGAATCAGCCGAGTGGCCGTAACATAACACACGATAAAAAGGTTGTGTTATAGGACAAAGGCGAAAAATCAGACCACGTGCGTGAAAGCAACAGATGCGCTGAGGAGGAAGGTCTCGGCACATGAGGAAGGGGGGGGGTCAATTTATTTCAAAAGATAACGAGTATGAGTTACAGATTGAATTAAGGTCACCACGATGTTTCGCTGGTAATACTGGAAATTGGACTCCCCAGCTTTTTCCAAACACTTGCCAATTTTATATTCATTTGCAAATTAAAATGAAATGTGTAACAGCAATCTTGTGTTGTCGATTTTGAGCCTCAGGAGTAGGCATCGCTCAAGTTGCCATTCAACAAGTAACTTTTTAATGAAATTGTTATTTTCAGGTATGGTTCTTTAAGTGATAACAAATATGCCAATGTATTTAATAAAAGACAAGTATCATTCCTTTTACAGGACATGATCTGGTTTAAACTGGTCTTCTCAAGTAAGTTATCTGGATTGTCAGTGATCTAGTTCAAACCTGTCATGTTTAGCCAGATTGGCAGGGGGATTGTTGGCCTTTTCTTTTAAAGTTCACACGAATAACGCCTTAAGAAGAGATGAAGCCATTCTGGAGTTGTTTACAGATGTTCATAGTAGACACCTAACGTGACTGCATGTTTATAAAAATAAAAATTAGCTTTACACTTAAAATGTGAATAAAATAGAACGTTGGAAGATCATATGAGAATTAATTGAGAATACGTGATATTAAAAATGATACATTTTTATTGAAATACTTGAACTTAAATTTTAAAAAAATCACTGGTTAATTAGTACTCAACACGGCCAATTTAAGCGTGATTATTAGAAAAGATACAACAGTTATATTATTTCCACCCATCCCAAAGGCAACAAAACAAATGCCCCGCCAAACGTTGACTTGCATAAAGTGACATTTTATGGAAGTCTTGTTGAGATAACACATTCTGCGTTTAAAAAAAACGCTTATCGTTTTGTCAAGGCTTGCCTTTATTACTTTTTAATAAAAAATGCTTCCTTTAAGATGCATGAAAAATCCATGAATTGTTTAACCTGCTTACTTAATAAAGGTCAAAGTAGTAGCAGCGTATTTTGCTTCGGGTATAATTTGGTAGGAACCTGGTAAAGTAAAGGTAAGAGATATACGCTGTTGCAAAGGGTGACAAAAAATGACATTTGTTGATTTTGCGACAAATATTCAAATCGGATTCCTACAACTGAACCATGTGACAGATCTTCGGATTGATAACATTATAATATTTATCAGTTATATGTCAATGGCATCACATGTTGACTTAGAGCTAGGAACAGTGCAGCACACGAATAACTATGAACTTTGTTGGCGGAATGCTGTTCGCAGTCTGAACGCTGCTTAACACAATTTGTTCGGCGAAGACAATACACAACCAATTACCATTAGGTCCCAAGCACAGTCTTATCTTCTCTATGGTCATTAAACAAGGTGTACACGTATTAGCCAAACAACCAAGACCAATGCTACACGTACACTCTAATTCTTATTAATCATGCAGCAAGGTAAACCAAATGGGCCATCAACCAACAACAAGCACGCAAGCAATGATAATTCATTTTTCGGGCTGCTTAAAAAACCTGAGCTTTTCTTTTCCTCGTAATCATTCAACGCATAGGAAAGAATCATCCAATACGCGACAAACACGATTCTATAAAAAGGTATTTACAGTAACGTGGCCCGCATTCGCTTTTAATAGACCTCCACGATACCTGAAAAGACCCAAGTCCGTTTTTCCTTCCGTAACCTTCAAGATTCCCAATGTGGAAGATTGCGTTTATTCTCATGGTGGCGGCTTTACCGGTCATGTCGCAAGAGTCTTTCAGCTATTCCTTCAGCACTGACGCTGAGGGGAATGTTGTGAGTTCAAGTTCTAGCAGCGATGGTCCCAGGGGTGCGGCCGCAGGGGGTGGTAGCGTCGGCACCCAGAGCGCCGGACGGGGTCCTGGCGACCCTATCATCATAGATAACGGGCAACCTCCAGGAGGTCCAGGACAAAGTGGGCGACCCGGGCAGGGAGGCAACGGTGGTGGTGACGGTGGCGGTGGTGGGCGTGGCGGCAGCGGTGGTAGCGGCGGTAGCGGTTTTGGAGCTGGATTTGGTCAAGGAGGCGGAAGCGGCGGCGGCAGCGGCGGTGGTGGTGGCAGCTATGTTGGCAACGGTGGAGTACCCCCGGGCTTTACCTCCCTCGAGGTTGAATAACACATGTTGCCGGTCGACAAATCAAACATTTGTCAGTTCTGTTATACATGTAGCTGATGCCGTAAAATTGCAGTGCACTGCATCTCTTTATCTGCTTCTTTTGTAGAAATAGGATAAGGGGGTGGGGGGGCTATTGGATCAAAGTCTAAAATTATATGAAATTCAACTTGGTCCACACATAATGCAGGGTTTTTCTTGTCCGTGAAGGCGGAGTAATCGTCACAAATGCATGCGACGTGCGCGTCGTCACGCCCCACTATAAAACACAAATGAGTGGAAATAATCACAATTGCACTAACATCATTTTGATTACACCGAAATGGTATTCAACGACCATGAAGGTTTTTATTCCGTTTTGGAAATTAACGGTTAATGAATTGATGCTTCGGTGGCAATAAAAAGTGATCCTGGCAACATATGACAGTCGCTGTTTCAATTGGGCAATAATAAATGACGTGAATCCCTTTTTTTTTTCTCTAATAAAGCATTTATTGTGAGTAGATTTACTTTAATCATATCAATGCGTCCTGTTTGATTTGGATTTTCGGTAGATCTCAAAGTTCATATGGGATCTGTGAGTAAAAGTTTGCATTCTAGAATGGTATAAAGTGATCTCAATTTATTCCATGGGAACCAATGAATTATGTGTATCACCATCTACCATCTCTCTCTCTCTCTCTCTGTGTGTGTGTGTGTGTGCGTGTGTGTGCGTGCGTGTGTGTATGTTCGTGTGTAAAGACCTTGTCTTAAAATCTTTACTTTTTATGCTTGCAGTCTGTAATTTTCGCCTCTTTAAAAAAAAAGTTTATACCCGTAATTTCACAAAAGAAGGACAGCACACAAACCATTTCTCCTACCGATGCAAAAACAAAAGTGAGAATAAGCCATGTCAGGTAGACCTACAATGTTCATGTATTTCATGAGAACCCTTCAACACACGAAAAAGGTACCCTCTACCAGGGTCGCAGTTATTATTGTGGACGTATTGTAGATATTAGCCATCTATTTAACCAGAGACATATCTGTTAATATCAAGTGAAAAATCAATCTGTGGCCCTGGTAGAGGGTACGGAAAAGGATAGGCTTACATGCATCAGTTGTGAGCAGCTTCATAACGTTTTCTCTCTCTGTATTAGAACTGCGCAGTTGTAATTTAAACACATGATCCCCATAATCTATAATACCCACTGTTATGCTAGTTTAGCTAATTACTGTATTAGTATAATAAGCATAATAATAATCAGATCCGGGATTATGGATAGAAATATACACATACTAGTATATTTAAACTGTGTTTCACTGTGAAACCAGCGTATTTCTCGCAGAGGACGAGAAAACCAGGTAGGCTACAATTAAATGTATTCTTCGTCTATTCTTTTCACAGCATCCGAAGCAGTAATTTTTTATAATGTCGTTGTGCAAGAGCATACTTAGAAAATCATTCGGCCTGCTTTTGTTTCAGTGGATGTCGATACTGTAAATATCAAAACTCCAGAAATGTAATTTTTCGGCCAAACGGGGAAAATCTTGCGTGTATTTGTAATTAAAATGTTTTGATAAAGTAGCACATACAGGTATATATAGTACATGTATAACTATTTTACAATTCTTTTAGGAGAGAGAAAACTGACATAAAATGAACAGAGTGTCAGCCATTATTTGCCTGGTGGTGGTGGCGATCGCCACGCGGGAGATGTTGTTTGTCCAAGCTGGTAAGAACATGCTCTCTCTCTCTCTCTCTCTCTCTCTCTCTCTCTCTGCTGTTTTCTCTATTCATTTAGAATGTTCACTAATGTCTGAGTGCCTGTGTGTGTGTGTGTGTGTGTGTGTGTGTGTGTGTGTGTGTGTGTGCGCGCGCGCGCCCGCCCGCTAGAGAGTCGTCGGTGTGTGGGTGTACGTAACTAAAAAAGAACTGGCGTTAATTTGTCGTTTATAACTATCTTCAGATCTATATGACCAGTGGATGGAGGACAGAGACTGTTGGGAAAATGACGGCGCTGTATGTCAGCATGACGGTCTGTATTGCAGTGGGCATTACGAGACAGGACTATGTGGAGGGGGTAGACGTCGAAGGTGCTGTATTCCCGGCCGTGGTGTGTATACTGACATCTCCTTATAATTTGTTTTCTTTCTTTAAGTCCTGCATAAACTCTAGAATATCGGTAGGAGTAACGATATTTTGAGACCATAATCTCATGATAATTCTTTACTGGTAGCTTGGTCAGTTATTTCATAACTGAATCTTGATATTTTTTGCGTGATGTGCTGTATGCCTTTAGCTGTTATGGAAGGAACACAGGACGGGAGCATTACAGAGTTTGAAAATATATATAATTTTGTTGACTTTTCCTTTGCTTTGTTTTGTTTTGTTTAGTACCTGTATGTGTGCACAGCGCCTGAGACTTCTTAATAGATACTTTTTTAATAACAGAAACATCAAAATATCTTAATTCTCCTTTTATTCACTTCTGTTCTCAGCGGACAGATTGTGCCTACAAGAGTGGGGCAGATGCCAGTTCCAAGGAGAAACATATTGCCCTTTTCCCTATGCAACAGGTATATGTGGCGGACCATCACGCAGAATGTGCTGTGTACACCGCGCGCTTCCGCCCTAACTGCGCATGTTCAGCTCATTAAGCAACCTAGCGTTGCGCAATTTCGCGAGCTTCATTTGAATTCAATTTTAGCGCTTTAAAGAAACCAAAGGGTGTACGAAATATTTCTAAAGGCTAAAATTCTATATAAAGGTCTTCCTCCTCATCACGGCTGTAGAGCTATGTTTCGGCAATAAAAATCATCTTTGTTTTATATATTTCGTTTTGTCGTAAATGGTGAGGTGAGTGCGTGCGTGATTGCCATCGTGACGGAAATGGAACGCATGTTGAGATTGTGAAATTTTAGCAAATACAAAATGAGAGAACCATCAATTACAGAATTGAATATTAGAATTTACAAGCATCTGAGGCCGGACCCAAGCCTTTTGGTGCCCCCATTACCCATTAAATAAATATTGTTTTATACTTCTCTCATAGTGGAGACCGGGGGTAGTTGGACCCCGGGGTAAGTTGTTAGACCATGCTTTACAGACAAAACCAAAGNATAACATCCCAATTGAAGCCGATGGGTTAAATGTTGATGATATAAGACAACACCAAACCGCGGAATTTCCGGCGGAGATAGCTGAAGCCCAAAACGAAGACTCAGATTACGAAATTCTCCAAGGGATTCTTTACTCGGTCAGACCACCTAATCCGACAGAGCCCGATTATCCGCGTTTATTGCTGCCTAAACAGTTCAGAAACAATATCATTGACCGCTGCCATAAAGATGTGGGACACATGTCCGTTTATAAAACCCTTTGTCGTGTCAGGGAATGTTATGTTTGGAAAGGGATGAGGAAACACATTTCTAAATGGGTAAAACGATGTCCGACTTGTCTAGCCCATAAAAGCACCCCCCAAAGAACGACCCTAGGTGAATTGCCAATGCCCGCTTACCCATTTCAAATAGTGGGAATGGATTTGATCGGTCCGTTTCAAGAGTCACCAAAGGGGAACAGGTATTGTTTGAATGTTATCTGTCACTTAACAGGCTGGGCCGAAAGTTATCCCATTCCGGACAAGTCTTCAAAAGCAGTCGAATTGGCTTTAGCTACAGATTTCTTTCCCAGACATAGCATACCAGAAATTATCATCACAGATAGAGGGAGCGAATTTAGTGCGGGGGAATTTCGCAATTATCTTCAAACAATGGGTGTAGATCATAGGCGGACTACAGCTTATAATCCCAAATGTAATGGCAAAGTTGAAAAATTTAATCAATGTTTCAAAGGATTATTGGCCCGCCTTGTTAACAACAATACTCGCACCTGGGAAGAACAGATAGCTAATGCTTTGTTTGCTTACAGGAATAGCGTTTCCTCAGTGACGGGTTTCACACCTTTTTTCCTAGTTTATGGCAGGAACCCAAGGATGCCATTGTCAACATTGGTAGGTGCAACAAATAATCACCATCCTCTGAAAGGTCGGCTTAGTGACCTATCGGATTCTTTAACGGCAGCCCGAGATAATCTTCAGGCAGCTAGACTTGAGAACAAAAGGCGATTCGATGCTAAGGCGAACGCCAACAAAATAGAGGTAGGTGATTCTGTTATTATCTTCGCACCTGATAATGTGACGTTCGGATCTAAGTGGGACCCGATGTGGACAGTGACTAGACAAAGAGGCAATGTCTTCTGGGTAAGCCACCAGCAGACAGGTAAGTCACGTGTGGTAAACAGGGACAAATTGAGACTCGTGGACAGGGGTTTGGCGTGGGATCAAGTAAGACCACGTGCCCGCCGTGTATTTAAGAGACGACCCAACCCAGTAAGAGCTGAGTTGCAACTTGGTACCACGCCAGTCAACATCAACGCTCCCAGGGCAGAGGTCACTCAGCACGCGGCGGTAAGTAAGCCCGACAGGCGTAGACACATAGCCGACAGGGACGAATCCGAGCTACCGGTAAGTGTTACAGGTGAGTCACAGGCAGCTTCACGCAGGCCGACACTGCATGCAAAACGCACGCACAACACCATAACACGACACCATACGCCTACGCATTCACATAATACCAGGTTTAGGAAGCGATGTCTTCAGGCGACGGAACAGGGAGACGCGCTGTTGTCGCAGGTGGAAGGGGACGAAACAGGGGGTCCCCAGCCAGTCAAAATGTCAAGGATAACCGACAGTGGGTCGGAGGAGCATATGGAAGTCGACTCCATACAGAAATAAGAGGATGGGTTTCTAAAACGATAGTTTTAGGTTTATTGTTTTTGATTTTAACTCCAGGGATAAAAGGGGAGTTACAGAAGCTACCTGATGGTGTCCTAGTGACCCAGAGGCAGCCATTGAGGGTAACGAAAGCCGTATGGACGGTATTGGTAACCATAGATAAACCTCGGGTAATGAGGGAGGAGATTATGGATCGGTTCGGCAGCATTGAAGCCGAGTTGCGTAGAGCACGAAGGGGGGAGTATATCACCCCAGAGGACAGGGAACAGTGGCGACAGAGGATAACTAATAGCCTTAACCTTTTCTACGAGTTAGAGGACTCTCAAGCGGCCGTACCAGCTCTGGCCAGGGCGGGTTCGGTCGGTCCGGGCGAAGGGCGTCATTCGTCTCGGACAAAAAGAGGGTTGTTTGACTTTGTGGGATCGGCGGCTAGTTTCCTTTTTGGCATCAGCACGGACAAAAGTGTTGACCAATGTCGTAAGTTAGTTCAACAGACAAGACAGGAAGGACGCCAAATAGCCCATCGGGTGGGTATGTTGGCGACGGTAGTAAATAAAACAATCAATACATTAAACACAAACATACAACACCTTAACTCGGTGCAACATTACTTAAGAGAAAGCGTAGCTAATCGTATCAACAGTCTCATCCAGGGATTAAATACAACGCAGAAGAACTTGACCAAGTTATTGGTGGCGTTCAATATTGAAAGAGCGGTAAGTAATTTTGAGAAATATATAGATCATCAGCGGGAAATCTCGGAAAGATTTCATCGACAAAAGATGTCCCTGGAATTAGGTAGGTTGACGGAACTATTATTGCCACCAAGGAAACTCAGGGAAATTCTATTAACGGCAACTTCCGGTAAGGAATTGAGATTTATTAATGATTTATTTTGGTATTACCGTTTTCTCACTGTTTCACCCATTCATGATGTTGACACATTAATTTACAGGGTTAACATACCATTGACACACAGTGCTCAATTTTGGCTTCACAACATCCTCACTTTTCCGGTGCCCTATAATTCAAGCGGGCTGTCAGCACATGTTCAATTACCTTACGAAATGGTAGGCCTTAACCCCAAAACAGGTCAAATATTTTTTCCCGATTCTTGCATAGGTGAAAATCCAGTCATTTGTGCGTCGGGTCCCTTTTATAAAACGGGTTTAAAATGTGAGCGCGCAATCATAACGGGAGACGTAAAACATAGGGAAGCGTGTAACATTAAAATATCTAAGAAATTAAATAAAGGAAAAGCAACAGAAATTAATCCCGGTCATTTTGTGATAATAAGTTGGGGCGAAACGTTATACACAAGGTGTGATAATTCGGAAGAACATTCCTTAAAAATCGACGCGGGTACTTACTTGATTAATGTCGATAACGGTTGCGAAATACAAGGGAATGATTACACATTACCGGGCATAATTCATCAAATCGGTAAGGTCGAAATTCGCCCTATTTCTATAAACATGACTAAAAGGTTAAATTTGAAAGACATCATAGCGGAACAAGACGCCATCAAACTGCTTAAATCATTTGATTTAAAGGATATGGCGCTTGAATCTACTGTCCCATTGCAGAAGGTTTTGTGGGAAAGGGAAGACCCCTGGACAAAATGGGTACCCGATCAAGATAATATTTGGGGCTACCTAGGCACGTTTGCTTTGGTTTTTCTGGTACTGGGGTTATTAGCGTTCCTCACAAAACGATATTGGCTAATGAAATGTAAACATAGTATTTTTCAGAGAAAGCGGAGAACGGACGAGGCTAAACTGCAGACGATAGATGAAACCAGCCAGGAAGCAACGGCGAGTCAGTTGACCGTAGTGCAGCCTAGCGCACCTCCGTTGGCTGAAGATGTTGTGTCACTGCAGACTGCAACGGGGAAACCCTTTCGCGCCTTGTACTCCAGAGATCCACTGGGGGTTTTAAAATATAATGATATTGAATAATTTCTTTTCATTTGTAAAGTAATTTTTTCTTTACATGGCGAGCTCGTAATTAGATTCATTAATATTAAATCATGTAAAAGGGGGTTTAGGGTATATCTAGCAAGAGCGGGTATACCCACCCCGCAGTTTGTCACGTAAAATTATGAACTATCACGAATTACTTGTGGGGTAGATAACCTGATTGGTGTAATTGACGCGAACAAATTTTTTTTTCTCTTTTTCCGTTACGAATTGCAGGGCCCAGCGACAGAGCGATTCCGGTACACGACGCTAACGACTTTCTTTTTTATTTCCGTTAGAAATTGCAGCAACTACACAAAAGGATGACATATGCCGGCTTCCAATAATTGCTTTCCATTAAACCTTCATTACTTTCATGAAATTCACCATGCAATGTTTTGAGTGTACTTTTAGTGCGCAAGGAAATTCCCATTTCCACAGACCAACCACCATGTTTGGACAGATTTTAATTCGGGGGCTACGATGTGACAACGCCAGAGTGTGTGAATTGGTGTCGTCTGTGACCTACGCTGCACTCCGACGGTCTTCATCCCAGCTGCAAGTCTCTATTATCATCAGTACTCCGAGCGTCATGGTGGGCTACGATTCGTCTGTGTTCGGCTGGACGTCGTCATTTCGCATTGGCTACGCGCAATATATATAGACTCTGATTATAACAAAAGACTCATATTCTAGAAGGAATGAATTGTTAAAAGCAAATGGTCGAGAGACAACTCGATAATTTTTTGTGCTGTCTGAGCATTGGATAAACCTATGTCCCTCTTCCTAAAATGAAAAAAAAAAAAATTAGGGAGAGGCTGGCGCAGCCGGCTCTCAGCACCGTTTTACATTTGCTCCACGAGGTTGCTTGCTCTTACTCATTATAATTATAGAAGTATTGAACATCCTTAAACCATATAGCGTACCTATGAACATGATGCGGACGACGTCATCATCACTATAAACTGGGAATCTTTCAATGCATTTACCTTTTGGCGATAATGCTTATGTTTAAAAATATTGAAGTTTGCACTGTATATATGTTTACGGAGTTGATAACATTTCTATTGTAATACCTATCTCTCAATGTATAATATTTTAGACTGTTCTTTATATTGTTACTTAACTATACCTATTCTGGTGTAAATATTTCATTCTGGTGTAAATATTTCATGGCACATAATTTCAACACACTGCTTACATTATTATTAAAACTTAAGGTACATAATATAGCCCATTTAATGCAGTACATATTAAGAAAGAAAAATGTCATAAATATTCTATTTTTCTTTGTTTGGGAAAGGGAGGAATATGTCGGAGACATTTAATAATTCATGGACGATGTCTATAATTTCAAGTCATAACTTTTATTATTCTCCATAGTACATTGTGTCAATTTTGAAGAGGCTGAGTAAGGCTTGTGTACCTGTCGCATTAAGAAGCCAGTGATAAGAAGTGCATGAAGCCATTGGCTGGAGTATGTACTAAAAGTGTGTAATATTGAATAGAGAATCAGAATGTACCTGAGCAGGCAACGAGTTCACATTAAACGATTGAAACTGGTCATTTTTGTCAGTGTGGATTTCCTCTGTAGCGTCTAGACGTAAAGATTTCGACCGCGAATCTGGAAGGCTATATACTAAAGCGTTATCCTAACTAAAGTATCCAACGGTGTCCGCATTTCGAGCTCAAGTCTAAATTACGTTTATATCTAAAATTGCGTGGTTCCGGACAAGCAGAGGACTACAACGACTACTGTGGCGCACGGTTCCTGTCACGCGCACTTCTTATTTCCGCAAAAGATAAAATTGATCTATTGGATGTTATAAATATATTCAATTCGTCATAGACATGTGATCTTGTCATAAGTATAACAAATATCACATAATAATATCAAGCTTAGTAACACTATATAGATGCATATGTTCAATTGGACAATAAACGTCCTTGAACTAATGTTAGGGTTTGTTGTGAGAATGGCGTAAATACAGCAGTGTTGTTAACATCTAAGTAAACGTTCGACGCAAGATATCATAAAGATTGAAACTGTTTGCCCTTAGTGATCCAACTCAGAAATTTGGCGTTACATTCTGTTTGCAGGTAAATATGTTACTATGAAAATTAAAATATTAAGAGCATTAGGCCACACTTTTATTTTTTGGATGACATCCTGCGCGCGCACCGATTTTCGTCCGTTCTCCAAAAAAAAAAAAAAAA